AGACAGAGTCTCACTTTGTTACCCTTGGTAGTGCTGTGGCATCACAGCAACCTCAAACTCTTGAGCTTAAGCGATTCTCTTGCTGTAGCCTCCTAAGAAGCTGGGAATACAAGCACCCGCCACAATGCCTGGTTATTTATTTATTTTTTTTAGAGACAAGGTTTCGCTCTTTGCAATCCACTTGCCTTGGCCTCCCAGAGTGCTGGGATTATAGGCATGTGCCACGGCACCCAGCTACTCTGGCTTTATTGAGCTTCTTGGATCCGTGGGTTTACTATTCTTCATGAATCAGGAAAAATCTAGCCAATATTTCTCAAATATTTTTCTGTTGCTTTTCCCTTTCAATGACTCAAGTTACACATTAAGTAGCATGAAATTGTCCCACAGCTCTCTGATGCTTTCTGCATTTTAAGGTTTTTCTTTGTATTTCATTGGTAATAGGTGTTCTTATTTCTAGTCTTCAGGTTTACATATCTTTTTATTCTTCGATGTCTACTCTGTTAATTCCATATAGTGTAGTTTACATCTCAGAACCTTTATGGTTATATGAGTCTTTTTCATATCTTTCATCTTCACTCTTTCTTTAGCTTTGTGAAAGCACAGAATAAAATCTTACTACTTCATTGTCCTTATTTACTAATTTCTTCACATGCTTGGTAATTTTTTATTGAATGCCAAGTTGTAAATTTTAACTTTTTGGATGCATGTATTTTTTTATTCCTGTAAATACTCTAGAAATTTGTACTGGGACACAGTTAAGTTACTTGGAAACAACTTGAACCTCTCAAGTCTTATTTTAACTGTTAGGCAAGAACTGAGCTACATTCAGTCAAGGTTGACGACTCCCCACTACTAAAGGAAATCCTTGCTAAGAATTCTATTCAATGCCCCAGGAATGAGGTTTTCCAGTCCAGCTGGTAGGAACTAATAACTGACCCACTATTCTTGGTCTTGAATGAGTTCTGCTACTATTCCTTCAGATGTTTCTTTCCCCCATTTGCTAGTAGTTTCTCAAGGAAGTCCCTCTTCAGGTATCTGGAGTTTTCCCTACACAGTTCCCCTGTATCTGGTACTCTGCTTTGCACTCTAGCCACTTTAGCCTACCCAGATTCTCAGCAATATCTCAAACTGAGGAAGTCTGGTAGATTCTTCTTGTGTTCTCCCTCCCTGCACAGCAATCTGAAAACTGTCAGGACAAGATGGGGCAATCATTAAGCTCAGTTTGTTTCCTTCTCTCAGGGATCTCTGCCTTTTGTTTCCTAGTATCTAACGTATTAAAAAATATTTTGCTTGTGTTCCAATGCTTTTAGCCAAGTATGATCGCTCACGTTTGCAGTCCCAGCACTATAGGAGGCCAAGGTGGGAGGATCACATGAGGCCAGGAATTTGAGGTTAGCCTGGGCAACACAGCGAGACACTGTATCTATAAAAAATATTTAAATAATTAGCCAGGTGTGGTGTTCTACGCCTGTAGTCCTAGCTAACTGGGAGGGTAAGATGGGAGAATCACTTGAGTCCCAGAGTTTGAGGTTGAGTGAGCTAAGACTTGGCCAGTGCCCTTTACCCTAGTTGACTGAAAAAAAAAAAAAAAGAAAAGAAAAGAAAAAAAATTCTTCGCCTGGCTGTTTAGATGGAAAGGGAAGTCATAGGGGTGTCCAAACTTTTTTCTTTCCTGTCACACATCAGAAGAAGAGTTATTTGAGGGCACACTTTAAATACACAAACACTGAACAGTGGCTCATGCCTGTAATTCTAGCACTCTGGGAGGCTGAGGGGAGAGGATGTCTTGAACTCAGGTGTTTAAAAGCATCCTGAGCAAGAGTGAAATCCTCATCTCTACTAAAAATAGAAAAATTAGCCAGGCATTATTGTGGGCTACAGTAGTCCCCGCTACTGGGGAGCCTGAGGCAATAAGATAATTTGAACCCAGGAGGTTGCTATGAGCTATGATGCCACAAAGCATTCTAGCCTGGGCAACAGAGTGAGACTGTCTTAAAAAAGAAAAAAAAATACACAAACACTAATGAAGCTGATGAGCAAAGAAAAGTCCATGCATACTTTTCCTAACTATCTGACATCACGGATAAACAAAACAGTTCTCAAATAATCAGCATGCAGCACATGGCCCACAGGTTGGACACCCTGGTAATCCTTGCCTAATCCACGTGGAAGTTCACAACAGTGAAAAATAATTAACTACAGCTATATTCATATGTATTAACAAGCAAAAATCTCAGGAACATGTAAGTTACAAAGTCACATTAAGAATACACACAATATAGATGATTTCATTTAAATAAATCCAAAAACATACAGATAAAAGCAACTTAAAAACTCAAGATAAAAGATAAGTGATTACCTACGGGAGTAAGGGACAGGCTTAAGGAGGAATAGTCTTGGTAACGTTGTACTTAGTAAGGTGGTGGTAAATACACAGATGTTCCTGTTATTGTCGTCACTAAACTTTTAATGTAACTGTTTTTACATGTACTCAGTATTTAACAAACATTTTTATTTATTACATATTAGCAGAGACCTGTGGATTTGATTCTGTAACTCCTGAAATGACTTCCAAAAAATGTGATACCTCATTGAAGTAAAATCGTTCAAAGAATAAATCGAATGAAATAACTCATCTGTATTTCCTCTACTGGTTTTCTTTATACCATAGCTTGATCTTCTCATTGTTATAAAATCAATATAGTAGGACATCAGCATTTTTTAAAAGCAGATTTAAGTACAAGGTCTGACAATTATGTTTGTGAACTCTTCTGAGAAAAAGTGCTACCCACTTCATTGCTGATTATCACTACAGTCATCTTCGAGGTACTCCTCTGGGAAACTACGCACTGAGGCCAGCGCCTGGGCCATTCTTCAAAGCATTTTAATTTCCACGTATCAAATTTGCTTAAAGCAAAACCATCAAGCTACAATTTCACTTAGTATCATACTGCCTTCCGCACAAAATGTGCACTAACCTAGGATTTATCCCATACTCCTCAGAAAACTATAAGAAATGAAGAGTAGCTGACTAATCCATGAAGTTCTATGAATGGAAAAGGTCTAGACGTTTGTGGATATTGCTGTATGTTTCTACCCTTAATCTAACGTTAGAAAAAGGCCAAAATCATTCTCTTTTCATCTTTGTAAATGTAGTTCCTCTGCCTCAAAGTTCCTTCCCCTTTGCTTTCTAAAAATGTTTGTCCTGTTATTTTTAGATTAACTTTAACAAAAATAGGTAGAAGTTACAGTTTAATGCCGATCATAAATGTACAATGCGGTTAAGTTTTTAACCACAACTCCTATCAAGTTACCCTGGTTTTACACATCGTCCCTCCGGTAGGTCTTCTCTGACCTGTTTCCCATCCAGGATTGGGCCCCACCACGATCCAACTGGACCCTGCATGTCACCAGGCAGAGCACTTAGGCCTGCACCCCCTCCAGCGCTGCCCGGCTAGCTCAGTGAAGTTGCCCGCGCCGCCATCCATGCAACCCCACACTCCCGCACAGAGCCTCAGGGACACGCCTCAGACGCCCTCAAACACGGATGCGAAGCGGTCACCGCCTCGAGAAGCAACAAAACCTGGCTGGGCATTTACAAACTGCCTCAGCGAACGTGCGGTGATAAAGATGAAAGCACAGGAGGCCTAGTCCTGTTTCCTCGGAAAGAAGGGCGGCCTCCTCGTGCTGCCCCAGCTGAGGATTCATCCCCCCGCCTGTCGCCAGGCCCGCCTACAGCTGCGCGCGAACACGCGCGGTGCAGCTCACCACCCCTCCCATTGAGGCCCTCGGTTCAGTTCCTGCTAGCCGACCATGCGCCAGCCACCGCGACTTGCTACTTAAAACTTTCCACCACTATAGCAATGGACAAAGGGTGAGAAACAAAAAGACGACGCGTGACCGACTCCAAATGACCTGGTCGGCGCGTAGCCAAGTCTGCTGCTGCGCCAAGCCTTCCACTCACCAGCCGCGCGGGCTCAGTCACAGCAGCGAGGCGAGAAACGTGGGCGGGGCCGGCCAGAGCCGCGCTCGCGCAGGCGCAGACCCTCCGAACGAGGGCGCTTCCGCCAGGGAGCCGGCGTTCCAGAAGCGTCTGGATCCGGCGTCTGGAGCCCCAGAGTGGTTTCCTGATGTGAATTGTTCTCTGTTTTCTTACTTGCCTCCAAGAATGGCAAAAAAAAGTTTAAGATTTTTGGTTACATATAAATTGAAGCATTTTGGCTCGGCGCCTGTAGCTCAGCGGTAGGGCGCCAGCCCATATACACCGGAGCTGGCGGGTTGAATGACAACCACAACCAAAAAATAGCCCGGCCTTGTGGCGGGCGGGCCCTGTAGTCCCAGCTACTCCGAGGCTGAGGCAAGAGAATTGCGTAAGCCCAGGAGTTGGAGGTTGCTGTGAGCTGTGACGGTACATCAGTCCTACTGAGGGCGACATAGTGAAACTCTTGTCTCAAAAAAAAAAAAAGTTTAACCATGTTGCGTTGAGGCGTGTAAGTTGTCACCATCAAAGCTTCATTTTTCCGTTTGCAAGTCTACTCGGTCTTTACATTAAGTTTAGGTTTTGGTGTTAGTGATACGATTAGAGGGGAAAAGAACCTTCAAACTCAGTTTTTCAGAGCCTTCAGTGTTGATTGCATATATTAAAACATCTACTGGGAGGCCAAGGCGGTTGGATAACCTGTGTGGCTCACAAGTTCCAGACCAGCCAGAGCCAGAGTGAGACCCTGTCTCTAAAAGTATCCGGGAGTTGTGGCAGGCACCTGAAGTCCCAGCTATGGGGAGGCTGAGGCAAGATAACTAACTGACTTGAGCCCAGGAGTCTGAAGTTGCTGTGAGCTATGACGCCAAGGTACTCAACCAGGGTGACAAAGTAAGATTCCATCTCAAAAAAAAAAAACAAAAAACTAGCACTGTAAGTATATATTTTGTCAATGATGCATAGATTAGTACCTCACATTAGAGCACTTAAATGTCCCATACTGTATATTATAAATAATATACAGTATTTGTTTTCCATTCCTCAAGGAAATCAATCTATATTATGTTCATACCTCCCTTTCCTGTATTTTTTTTTTGCTAAGTTTTATATGTTCTGCTGAGCAACTTTAAATTCTAGTGTAAGGTGAGGGTGTGACTTGTACGGCTACCAAATGATGCTATTCAGTAAGTAGTTCATGAAAACAGAGGGTTATAACTTGGGATGTACCACCGTTTCTAATTTTAGTACTGTTTTCAGTCTGTAAAGACAAATGCTTCATTTTGACTTTGATTGTTTTTAACTAATAAGTGTATTAAACCAAGTATTTCAAGACCAGGTATAACTTGACAAAGGTGCAGGAAGAAAATACTGTATTTAAAATAAAATAAACCAATTAACATCAACAAAGAAACAAAAACTTTTATGAGTGTTTTGTTTTTTAGAGGTAGTGTTTCATACATAACAAGCTGCCTTGGCTTTTAATTTAAAAGCAAATTACTTTTGGTCTTATTTATTTTTTTGAGATGGTCTCACTTTGTCACCCAGTATAGAGTGCTGTGGCGTCATAGTTCACAGCAACCTCAAACTGCTAGGCGCAAGTGATCCTCTTGCCTCACCTTCCCAAGTAGCTGAGACCTACAGGCGCCCGCCACAATGCCCAGCTAATTCGAACCGCCAGTGTTAGTGTTTTTGGTGGGCGCCTCGATCTTGCTGGGGCTGGTCTCTAACTCCTGAGCTCACGTGATCCACCCTCCTCTACCTCCCAGAGTGCTAGGAGGCACCAGCCACCGTGACCTGCCCTAATCTTACTTTTTAGTAAGTGCCTGTATCCATTTAGGCTTTTTAAGCATCTGTTGCTTTGACAGCATATGAAACAATACTTACCTTCATGAATCTTACTACAGGCTATTGTTATTATTAAAGTGAACATAGGCTTGGCGCCCATAGCTCAGTGGTTATGGCGCCAGCCACATACACAGACGCTGGCGGGTTCCAACCTGGCCCAGCCTACTAAACAACACTGGTAATTACAACAAAAAAATTGCTGGACGTTGTGGGGGTGCTGTAGTCTCAGCTACTTGGGAGGTTGAGGCCAGAGAATCGCTTTTAAGCCCTAGAGTTTGTGGTTGCTGTGAGCTGTGACGCCATGGCATTCTACTGAGGGCAACATGGTGGGACTCTGTCTCCAAAAAAAAAAAAAAAAAATTGACCATAGACGTCAGAGGTTACCTTTCTATCTCCCCCTCAATAGTGCTAACTGCTCGGGCAGCGTATCAGTTCTACATGAAGATTGGTATTTCCCTGGTGAAACCTATGCATTGTAAGGTAATAGTTTTCAGAAATAACAAAAATTTAAAATATCAAAGATAAACTGATTCTCTTTTAAGTAAAGTTACTTGTGTAACTTTATCAATTTTAAGTCAGGAATTATCCCTTCTGTGTATCAGCAATGTCTTTTGTTTAACAAAAGACTTTTGCTTCTCTCCAGAAATGGTGCAAATAAGAAATGAGGATCACTCTGGAAAGATATCCTAAAGACAAAATTAAATTCTGTTCTTAGTCTTTTAAAAACAAAAATCACTAATTACCTATTAATACGAAATCACATGATTTAGGTGTTTTTCTGCCATTCTTCAAGTAGTTATCCTTTAGAATTCTAATCTCAAAAGGTACTTTGAGAAAAGACTGCATTAAATACGATGAGGAAAATCAATTAAGATCTTCTAAACTCCACAATACACATTAGTGTATTAAAGCTTTTAACTTCACACACTAAAGAAACTTGATTTATTTCTCATACTTATTTCACAACAGCCTAAATTATAAAAACTAGTATTAACATGAACCTCACTTTGGGAATCATTGATAGAATTTTTGTTGTTGTTGTAGAAATAATAAGAGCACATTCAGAAATTGATATTGTTGCTATGGTTTGAATGTGTTCCCTGCAAAATTCAGGTGTTGCCACTTAAGAGGTGGGGCCTTTAAGAGATGATTAAGCCAGCTGGGTGCCTGTAGATCACCACCTGGGCCCGCTAAACAAAAATGACAACGACGACAAAAATAGCAGGGCATTGTGGCAGGAGCCTTGTAGTCCCAGCTCCTTGGGAGGCTGAAGCAAGAGAATCACTAAAGCCCAGGAGTTTGAGGTTGCTGCGAGCTGTGACGCCACCGCACTCTACCAAGGGCAACATAGACTCTCTCTCAAAAAAAGATTAAGCCAAGAGGATTCCCCCTTCAAAGAATTCTAATAAAGGAGTGGGTTGGTTTTCTGTTGCCCTTCCAGCTTCCACCAGGTGAGGGCAGGGCAAGAAAGCCCTCACCGGATGCCAATGCCTTCATCTTGGATTTCTAAGTCTTCAGAAATTTGAGAAATAAATTTCTGTTTCTTACAAATTACCCAGTCTCAGGTATTCTGTTATAGCAGCACAAAAGGATTAAGAGAGTTGACTTAAATAGATCAATTTCTCATTTAAAAAAAAGATAAAAGTAAATAGTCTGGTGAACTCTTATCACAATTATCATGGTGGTAGTTGTGGTTATGGCTTTAAGATCGTGTATTGATGTGAAAATATAAATTATGTACTTAAGATTAACTACTAGGTATTAGACTTCATATTAGGATACCTTTATCTAATGAAGGAGAATGTGTTTTCAGAAATAATCTTTAAATATATTGGAATTTATTGAACATCTACATTACATTTTATCCATCACTGTTTTAAATTTTTTCTTTGGGAAGAACAGGATGTGCCTGTGGAAATTAATGTAAACTCTAAGTAGCTTAGTTCATAATTAAATCTTAGGTCTCTCTGCCTTTACCCTGCACAGTACCATGTCAGTGTTCAGAAAAGATCATGACATCCAGCACAGTGCTTTAAGTAGGTTTACAAATGAGAAGTTCCCATATGCAATATATCTTGGGCTTAAAAGGAGTCTAAAAGGAGTATATGAAGCCTAAATTGGTGAAGAAGGCAGAAGTAAACTAATCAAAAGTTAAGAACACAACTGCTACTACTATGGAAATAAAAATATTTGGCACATCCCTATTTAAGCTCTACTTGCTTCAGGTTTTCATTCATTAACTCTGGGAAACAACAACTTAAAGCAATTCACTCTCATGCTAGATATTAAAAAATAACTTACAGGGGAAGAGCTCAGGAGGAGGTGATTTATATGCCAGGACTGGGACATAATAGCTATTACTGGGATGTGGAATTTCCCAGCAAAGGATTCTTTCATTAACTTTACCAAATAAGCTCTTTGTTTCTAGTTAGTTGTTTTTTTGTTTGTTTGTTTGTTTTTTGAGACAGGGCTTCAAGCTATCCCCCCTAGGTAGAATGCTGTGCCATCACAGCTCACAGCAACCTCCAACTCCTGGGCTCAAGCGAGTCTCCTCCTCTGCCTCCCAAGTAGCTGGGATAACAGGCACCCACCACAACGCCCTGCTATTTTTGGGTTGCAGCCATCATTGTTATTTGGCAAGCCTGGGCTGGATTTGAACCCGCCACCTTAGGTGTATGTGGCTGGTGCCTTAGCCACTTGAGCCACAGGCACCGAGCGTCTAGTTAGTTTTAAAAGAAAGTCAAAGTGAAAAGCCATTTGAGATTACATAGAATGCACAAGACCTAATCTGAGAGCCTATGTTTAGAAAACAAACAAACAAAAAGCACTGCTTCATAATCTAATCAACATGCCAAAGGCATCACTCACAAGCCACTCTATTAAATAACTGTATTTTGGGGGAGGACAATTATTTAAAAAAAAAAAAAAGATTTTTTTAATGGTTTTTATATTTGCAATCTTTAAAATTATCTATGGCCCCCAAATGACAGATGAGTAGCCTGTGAGTATTGTCCCACCCTTAGAGGGAGAAACAAAAATTATCTATGGCCCCCAAATGACAGGTGAGTAGCCTGTGAGTATTGTCCCACCCTTAGTAATAAAAGAGAAGAAACAAAAATTCAAACAAACTCAAGATTTCTTTAACAACTTAACTTTTTCTTTAGCTATCCTTA